TATGCCATATGAGCTTCAGTTTGAGTTCCTGGTGTAATTTACCTAGGAGAGCAGTGGAAGGTGGTCCATGCACTTAGAACTCTATACTTACATGGGAGATCTGGATGAGACTCCTGGCTCCTAGCTTTAGTGTGGTCCAACCCTGGAGGTTGTTGCAATTTGGAGAATGAACCAGCAGATGAAAGGCCTCTCTCCACTTCTTCTTTCTCTGTATACTTGCCTTTCAAACACATAAAAATCACATTTTAAAAACCACATATAGTCACTAAAGTTAGTTGAACAAATTTCAAATATGAGTAGCTATTTGCATTCTTCCCTGAGGCTTCAACTTTGCTCATCCTACCCTAAATCTTCATCTCCAACATGGATGTTACCCCCACATGAACTCTTCTATGCACTGCTCTATGTGTCAACTCCCAAGATGGCTGCTGCAGTCCCAGAACAATGTCTAGAAAAAGGAACCATCTCTTGCTGTCTCCTCTTTGGAACATTATAAAACCTTCTTTTTTACAGATTTATTTACTTTTATTGGAAAGGCAAATCAGATTTATGGAGCAGAGAGAAAGACAGGAAGATCTTCCATCTGTTGGTTCACTCCTCACATGGCTGCATTGGCTAGAGTGGAACTGAGCTGATTCAAAGCCAAGAGCCAGAACATCTCTTTGGGTCTCCCATGTGGGTGTAGGGTCCCAAGGCTTTGGGCCATCCTCATAGCTTTCCCAGGCCACAAGCAGGGAGCTGGATGGGAAGTAGAGCAGCTGGAATATGAACCAGCTCCCTTAGGGATCCTGGTGCTTGCCGGGGTGAGGATTTAGTGAACTGAACCATCGTGCAAGTCTGGAAGATTATAAAATCTTTCCCTCAGACATCTTGTCACATTTCCCTAGCTAAAAAGGCACCATATGTCTTTCTCTTAACTGATCATTATCATAGAAGTTATGCATTTATTCCTCAGCTGGAGATAGGGTCTCTCTTTTACTAGTGTAGAGGGAGAAAGACACACTGAGCATGATCAGAGACTGCAAAATAATAAAAATGGTAATAAAACACTGGAAGGGAAGAGATTAAGTTGTTTCAACACAGCAGACATCTGATTATTCACCTTTACGTTCTCTGAGAAAAGCTTTTCCATTTTATACTTTCTCAGCACTTAGGCCAGTGCCTTGCACCTAATAGGCACTTAGTCTTCTATAGTCATCTGCATTTCAGTTAGCCACAGACTGCACGCTAAATGGAGGTCCCATAACCTGATGCTATGCAATGACACTATAGCTGTCCTAGTCTAACCATACCCTGTCATGGTCATTTAATGACAAAAGCAATGCATTTCCCAGAATATTCCTGGTCATTAAGTGATAAACAACAATACTTAAATTTTAAAATTCCCTTAAGTAGGCCTGGTGTGGTAGCCTAGTGGCTAAAGTCCTTGCCTTGCATGTGCTGGGATCCCATATGGGCGCTGGTTCTAATTCCGGCAGTCCCGCTTCTCTTCCAGCTCTCTGCTTCTGGCCTGGGAAAGCAGTAGAGGACGGTTCTCCTTATCTCTGTAAATGTGCCTAATAAAAATAAATGTATCTTTTAAAAATGATGTGATCACTTTTTGTACATCTTGCAGTCAGTAGGCATGAGAATTTATATTTGTTGAAACTCACTCCAGAGTTATGCCCATTAGTTTTGTTTATTATTATTTGTTTATCTGAAAGAACTACACAGAAAGAGGGAGAGACAGGGCCCTCCCATCCATTGGTTCACTTCCTAGAGGGCTGAATGAAACAAAAGTCAGGAGCCAAAAGCTTCTTCTGGGTGTCCCACATGGGTGCAGGAGCCCAAGCACGTAGGCCATCTTCTACTGCTTTTCCCAGGCAGCGTATTGGAAACAGAGTATTGGAACTGTAATGGAAACAGAGTAGTCAGTAACTGGCGTTGGAAGGAGGCAGCTTCATTTGTCATGCCACAGTGCTGGCCCTGTGTCACACTGTTTTTAAGCAGAATATTCCTCCATTAGCTGAGCATTTTGTATTCACATTCTGACTAATCATTACATGTAACTGTGATGGCTGATTATGCTTTTCCCCCTTTTCCTCTTCCCCTTCTCCCCAGATAAGCCTTGCGTCTAAAATTACTCCTGTTTGGAGGTCATGCTTTTCAGGTTGACAGAAGAATGAAAATGTGAAGGCTGTGGGCTGGAAAGCTTGCGGCCTTGAACAAGGTTTTTCCTGTAAGCAAGGCCAGTGATGACATCACAATGCAGCTTTACTGGGGTTTTCAAAGATGATGTATTTTGTTTCCATATTTAACATCAACCCATCTGCTTTGTCCGTTTTTTCCCCACACAGGCTGAAACAATACAGAAAAACCTGGAATGAAGACAACATTAGGGAGCTGGCATTGGGTCCAGTGGGTTAAGCCTTGGTCTGCAAAGCCGGCAATCCACAGGGGTGCTGGTTCACGTCCTGGTTGCTTTTCTTCCAGTCCCTGCTAATGCACCTGGGAACGCAGTGGAAGATGACCCAAGTGTTTAGGCACCAGTCATCCATGTTGGAGACCCAGAGAAGCTCTTGGCCTTAGGCCTGGCCCAGCTACAGCTGTGTGGCTATTTGGGGAATTGATTGGCAGATGGGAAATACCTTTCTCTGTTTAACCCCCTCTCTCTGAATATCTATCTTTCAAATAAAAAAAGTCTTGAAAAAAGTAATAAAGAGTTAGTACTGTAGCTCAGCTAGTTAAGCTTCCACCTACAAAGACATCTCATACGGGTACCAGTTTGAGTCCTGGGTGCTTCACTTCCAACCCAACTCCCTGCTAATACACTTAGGAAAGAAGGAGAAGCTAGCCCAAGTGCTAAGGCTCCTTCACCCACATGGCAGACAGAGGTGAAGCTGCAGGTTCCTGGCTTGGCCTGGCCCAGCATTGGGTGTTGTGGCCATTTGGGGAATAAATTAGTGGTTGGAACATTGGTGTATTACTGTAACCCTGCCTTTCAGATCTTAAAAAAGAGAAAAAGACCACTAAAATAACCCCCTTCAACCATAACCCTCCTCAAGTGTAGGTAACTGTTACCTGTAGCTCAGTGTAACTTCCACACAGTCTGAGAAACCTGGATTGTGTCTGAGATGAGGCTGCCTGCAGATCAGGAGGCCTACCACAGACCCACCCCATTTCTCATGGGAAGGCAGTATTTCCATTTGACCTGGACATTCATTGCATTTAGATGGGGGCTGGCGTTGTGGCATAGCATGCGAGCCCTCTGCCTGTGGTAGCTGTTCCATGTCTGATCCAGCTTCCTGCTGGTGGCCTGCGAGGGCAATAGAGGCATGCGCCCACATGAGAGACCCAGAGGAAGCTCCTGGCTGGATCAGCCCAGCTCTGGCTATTGCTGCTAGTTGGGGAGTGAACCAGCAGATGGAAGAGCTTTCTCTCTGTCTCTCCCCATCTCTGAAACCCGTTTTTTTTTTTTTTCCCTAAAGATTTTATTTTTATTGGAAAGAGAGGAAGATCTTCCATCTGATGATTCACTCTCTAAGTGACTGCAATGGCCGATGCTGTGCAAATCCAAAGCCAGGAGCTTTTCTGGGTCTCCCATGCCAGTTCAGGGTCCCAAGGCTTTGGACTGTCCTCAACTGCTTTCCCAGGTCACAAGCGGGGAGCTGGATGGGAAGCAGGGCCGCTGGGATTAGAACTGGTGCTCATATAGGATCCCCATGAGTTCAAGGCGAGGACTTAAGCCGCTAGTCTCCTGCGGTGGGCCCCAAACTCTGCTTTTCAAATAATAAAAAAAGTGGTTTGCATATCAGTGCCCATTGCTGGACTGTATGGACTGCATAGGGAAGACCTCGACCCCTTCATACTTGCACCCCCAGTGCCTACCTCATACTGTGTCTTCATGAGTATTTGTTGAGTGAATACATCTTTGGGTGTCTGGGAGCTATTGCTAGGAGGTCAAAATTAAGTTTAAGAAACTATGCCAGATTTCATAAAGAAGGAGTATTAGGAAAATGAACTTCCTGTTGCCAAATCTATCTGAGCCAAATCCCAACCAAGTCACTGACAAGGACAGAGTTTTGAAGTTCGTTCACAAATCTCTTGGCCCCTTGCAGCCTTGCCTCATGGTCTTTCAGCACAAGACATTTTTATCTAGGGACATCCTTCTCAAATCACTGTAGACCTTCAGTTCTCTCCTTGTGACAGTCCAAGGCCGCCCTCCTGCTGGATCAAAGGCTTACTTACTGGTTTCACGCAGGAAAAAAACCCTGCCGAAACTGCTGTGCTTTCTTAAGAGAACCTTTAAACCACAAAACCTGCAAATCTTCGAAGACCCAAGTTCCATTCATTTGCTCTTCCTGCTTCTGACTTACAAACACACGAGCTGATCCTGCCTGCCCAATGCACAGTACCCAATGTATACTCTCACAATGGGCCCAGAGCTGTAAACACACACACGTAACTGAAAAGGTCCTTGGCTTTCTGTGGACGGCGGAAGAGGCATTTAACACATAGCAGTGCAGTATGATTTCAGCGGGGGTTAGTTTCACGTAGGCTCTGAGGAATTTTCCCAGACTGCTGGATTATCCTTCCACAGGCGGTTTTGGGGACCAACCTAAACTTCCCTTGGTACTTTCCACCACAAGGGTTTACGCAAACACTCGCCACTGTGCAAACGCTGTCTTTCTAGTCTAAGTAACAAGAGCCCAAGGTGGAGGGACCAACGCATTAAGCATGGCACGTACGCTTTCTGCGCAGACTCCGTGGACCTGAGACTCTGCGCGCTCACCAACAGCCTGCAGCTGCAGGAAACGCGGGCCTCAGCGACGCCTCACAACCTCGCCCTCAGATTCGACGTCAGTTTCCGCGACCGCCTCGCCGCTCCGCCCCTTCCCGGACTCCGCCCCGACCTCCCGAGCTGCCCCGCGCGGGCTGCAGCTGTTCTGCGGGCGACCGCCCCTCCCCGGCGCGCGGATCCGGAGCGCCACTCGGCTCCGCCCCCAGAGGCAGGCTGCCGGCCCCCTACATCCGGGTACCGACTCCTGCCGCCCAGATTCTGGCACTATGGTCATGGCGGAGGGGACGGCAGTGTTGAGGCGGAACAGGCCGGGCACCAAGGCGCAGGTACGGTCCCCACAGCTTTCCTGCGGGTGAACTCTCGGTGCCGAGCCTTGCCACGCCTGCGGGCTGGCTGCCACCGCGGGCAGACTGGATCGGGGCAGCGGAGAGGCGGGCGGGGCCCTGGCGGGTGCCCGGCCTGTTCTTCCGGAGCCGCAGCCCCTCCAGGCAGGGGCCGGCCGGCTGGGCCGGCGGAGCGCTGACCGGCCGGCGGAGCGCTGACCGGCGGGCGGGCGGGCGGGCGTGAGGGGCCGCTGCCGGGAACGCGGGTGCCCGGCAAGGCCTGCGGCCATGGGCCGCTTGCTGTGGTCCGCCAGCCGACGGGCGCCGGAGGGGCGCGGCCAGCCCAGGTGGAGTCTTGGGGTCAGGGGGTCCCCGAGTTGGGGGCGGCGGGCCTGAGAAGGGGGTGTGGACGCCGCTGCCCTCGTCCGGGCTTCCGGTCCTGCCCGGCTGTGCCACCCAGCCCGTCCAGCCGGATCTCAGAGGCGATAGTTAAACCTCCTCCTCTGGTTCGGCTTGGACCACCCCTTCCCGCTGCTTCCCTGCAGCTGGGCTCTGGTCCGGCAAGTTTTCCTCGCCAGGTTGGGACTTGTTGGGTGTGATATTCCTTGTGATTTTCCTTGTTAATATGTAAGGAGGCATGGTTGGGGAATGAACTGCTGATTATTATATTGACTCTTAGTAAGCCTGTACTGCGTGTAAGTTGTTCCTGGCGTTCACATTGGGTCTGAAAATGGCTTTCCTAGGAATTGACGCTCTGAGATTCGGAAGGGTGTGTTTCAGATGTAATTTTAGAGAGAAATGGCGTTAAGTGGTGAAAGTACCCTTGGAGCTGAGAATAGATTTGCCTGTGGCGTACAGGCTTACGGGAAGGAGACCAGCGGTGGAGTTGATCGCGCTCCACCCCTTCCCAGATTCGTGTTTCAAATAGAATCGACTGGATTTGCTCAAGGTTACATTGTCTCCTGATTCCAGGTCCACAGGTGACCTTTCATTTTGACAACTTGCTACCACTGAATTCCAAAGAATTCATTTTGCCAGTCTTATTGCAGCCCCATTAACCTGTCCGTTCAGGACATTGTGTTCACACTATCGGAAGTTGGTTGGAAATGTATATATTTGCTTCCTTTTCTGAACCTTTTGCTCTGTGCTACATGCTTTTAGCTTGTATTCTGGAAGCATTATTTTTGCCTCTTAAATGATCGATTTTTAAGTGTTTGATTCAGAAATATACTTTTAAAAATTCATTCTCAGAATCATTTATTTAAAAGCCTCTAATTTTTAAAAAGTGTCTAATTTTGAAAAAACTAGAAAATAACATACGTTTTTAAAGATTTATTTTATTTTTGGGGCCTGCTGTAGTAGCTTAGTGGCTAAAATCCTCTCCTTGTGTCCCCTGGGATTCCATATAGGCACTGGTTCATATCCTGGTTGCTGCACTTCCCATCCTGCTCCCTGCTTGTGTCCTGGGAAAACAGTAGAGGATGGCCCAGATCCTTGGGACCCTGCACTCCCATAGGAGACCAGAAAGGAATTTTAACGTTGTCATAGATTAGGCTTGTTAAGTAAATGAGGTTAGGACTTAGAAAATACTACTTAAGCAGCTAACTTGCCCATATCTTCTTTATCACATAAATTTCCATCAGTAAAGTGAGTCTCTTCTAAAATTATGTAGAGGGTCAGTATATTGTCTCAGCTGGCTAATCCTCTACCTCCAGATGCTGACATCTGTATGGGTGTCAGTTCATGTCCTGGTTGCTCCACTTCCCATCCAGCTTCCTGCTTGTGGCCTGGGAAATCAGAAGAGGATGACCCACATCTTGGGACCCTGCACCCGCATAGGAGACCTGGAAGAAGCCCTTGGTTCCTGGCTTCAAATCAGTTCAGCTTTGGCGCTTATGGCCACTTTGGGAGTAAACCAGCAGATGGAAGATCCTTCTTTCTTCTCTCTATAAATCTGCTTTTCCATTGGGAAAAAAAATCTTTTTTTTTTTTTTTAATTTATTTGTATTGCAAAGTCAGAGAGGGGAAGATCTTCACTCCCCAGGTGGCCGCAATGACTGGGGCTGTGCCGAGCCTAATCCAGGGCACAAACTGGCACCTGTATGGGATCCCAGCATGTGTAAGGTGAGGACTTTAGCCACTAGGCTACTGTTCCACTCCCGAAAAAAATCTTTAAAAAAAATAATAAAGATGACAAATATTAGGTAGAGGTGTGACAGCAGGTGGAGTATCTTCCTACTTTTTTCAAAGTTGGTTAGATTGGACTATAAGCACATCATTGGTTGTCAGTAAATATTACCTGAAATAAGTGAGAATTTCATTAAGTGTTGCCTCTCATAGGTGTGTAAAGTATGTCCCAGTTGCGGAGGGAAACATTTCATTGTCAGTTAACTTCCTTCTGTCTGCTGTGTATTACTCTATTTATCCTTACTATATTTAAAAAACGTTTATTTAACCCAAGAATCGTGAACTCCATCCAGGTCTCCCATGTGGATATAGGGGTCCACAGAATTGGGCAATTCTCTGATGCTTCTCCCAGGCTGTTGGCAGGAAGCTGGGTTAGAAGTAGAGTAGGCAGGACAGGAACCGTGCTCATAAGAAAGCTGTTGTAGGTGGCAGCTTTATATGCTATGCCACAACACTGGGTTAGAAATGATTTAGGATGGGCCCAGCGCGGTGGCGCAAGTGCTTAAGGTCCTCGCCTTGCGCGCCCGGGATCCCATATGGGCGCCGGTTCTGATCCCGGCAGCCCCGCTTCCCTTCCAGCTCCCTGCCTGTGGCCTGGGAAAGCAGTCGAGGACGGCCCAAAGCTTTGGGACCCTGCACCCGCGTGGGAGACCCGGAAGAGGCTCCTGGCTTCAGATCGGCATAGCATCGGCCGTTGCGCTCACTTGGGGAATGAATCATCGGATGGAAGATCTTCCACTCTGTCTATGCTCTCTTTATATCCACCTTTCCAATAAACAAAATAATAAAAATAAATCTTTAAAAAAAAAAAAAGAAATGATTTAGGATGGCCCAGCACGATAGTGTAGTGGTTAAAGTCCTCGCCTCACACGCGCCGGGATCCCATATGGTCGCCAGTTCTAATCCTGGCAGCCCTGCTTCCCATCAAACTCCCTGTTTGTGGCCTGGGAAAGCAATCAAGGATGACCCAAAGCCTTGGGACCTTGCATCTGCATTGGAGACCTGGAGGAGGTTCCTGGCTCCCAGCTTCGGGTCGGCACAGCACCAGCCGTTGCAGTCACTTAGGGAGTGAATCATCGGATGGAATATCTTCCTCTCTGTCTCTGCTTCTCTCTGTATATCTGATGTTCCAATAAAAATAAAATCTTAAAAAAAATAAAAAAGAAATTATCTAGGAAAAGGCATCCTGAAGTTTCTTCTAGCAGAGTGTTTTATTTCTGAATAGTTTCCCTTAATACAGTTGGTTAGCTATTTTCTTTCAGGTAGGGCAGCTGTGAGAAAAGGATAATTATGAAATGATTAAGACACTTGAAAAGTTTATCGCCTACTCTCAGAGCTAAGGCTTTGCTAATAATGGTGAATCCTTTGGGATCACATCTCTTCCGTTGCTATCCCACCCAAGCAATAATGTGATCATCATTCCTTTTAATTCCTTTTGTTGTATAAGCATGTTATCTGTAGGTTTGCCTTGCATTTTGTTAAAACTTTTATTTTCTGGCTGTCATATACTGTGTATTGCTTTTCTTGGCTTGCGGTTTTGAAGGTTTGCCTGTACTGATTGATACAGGTTCTCTTCCCCCACCTTCCCCCAGTTTTACTCTGGAGGCATTTTCTGAGAACAAGTATATATTAGGCATTTATCAAGAATAGTATACTTTGCTTCCCCCCAGAATTAGTCAAATACAACTTTATTAACTCGTACATTTATTTGAAAGTTGGACCTACATAGAGAGGGAGGAAAGGAGGGAGAGAAAAAGATCCCCTTGTTCAATCCCCCAGATGTCTGCAGTGACCAGGACTGGACTAGGCTGAAGCCTGGAGCCAGGAGGTTCTTCTGGGTCTCCAATGTGGCAGGGACCCAAACACTTGGACCATCACTTGGTACTGCTTTCTCTGCTCATTAGCAGGGAGCTGGATGTACATTTGGGACATGAACTGGTGTCTACATGGGATGCAGGCTGCAGCTTAGCCTGCTTCACTACAGTGCTGGCCCCAAAATGGGAAGATTTTGAATTCTTTAGGGAAGTATCTGTAACTATTTATAGAGGGATTCAGAATCAGTACAAGGTGTTCTACAAAAAAGTCATGTTAAAAAAAAAAAAGACTTGTTCTATTTGGACAGATATTTATTGGAGCTACACAAAGTCAGAGAAAGAATGAGAGCAGGCTCCTATCCAGTGGTCTGCTCCTACATTGCCCACAGTAGCTGGGATTCTGCTGGGCTGAAGCTAGGAGCTCAGTCCAGTTTTTCCTACCAGTGGTGGGAACCCTGTTCCTGGGGCGTCACTACTGCCACCTGCTACCTCAAAAACCCAGAGACTGAGGGCTGGCATTGTGGCATAACAGGTTAAGCCACCGCGTGTGATGCTCACATCTCATGTGGGTACCAGTTTGAATCCTGGCTGCTCTGCTTCTAATTTACTTCCCTGCTAATGTACCCAGGAAAGCAGTGGAAGAGGGTCCAATGTGTGTCCCCCTGCCATCCATGTGTGAGACACGAATGAAACTCTTGGCTTTAACTTGGCTCAGCCCTGGCCATGGCAGGCATTTGGAGAGTAAACCAGTGGATGAAAGAGCTCTCTACATCTTGCTTCTCTGCAACTCCGCCTTTCAAAAATAAAATCCTAAAAAAAACAAACAAAAAAACAAACCCAGAGACATATATGGGGATGCAAGTATCTTTATTTTTTTAGTATAATCTTTTTAAAAAATTATTCAAAAAGTAGAATTAGAGAGAAGGGATAAAAAGGAAGGAGGCAGGGAGAAAGAGAATATCTTCCATCTGTTGATTCACTCTCCCAACAGTCACAGTGGCTGGGGCTGGGCCAGGACAAAGGCAGGAGCCATTTCCAGTCTGCCAGGTGGTGCAGGGATCGAAGCACTGAGTCAGTCTTCTGCGGCCTTACTAGGTACTTTGGCAGGGAGCAGCACCAGAACTGGATGCTGGCAATGGATGATCTTGTGGGAAGTGTCATGATTGAAGGGTTTGTGGTTAAAAATGTATTTTGTGGTTAAATAAATTTTGATGTGTTGTTTTTAATATTTAGAAGATTTACGTATTTGTTTAAAAGGCAAGTGACTAGAAAGGAGAAAAAAATTTATCTTCCATGTGCTGATTCATTTGTCACATGCCCTCAACAACAAATGCTGAGCCAGGTCAGTACCACCCTGGGGAACAGGGACCTGACACTTGGACTGTTACTGCCTTCGCAGGCATGTTAGCAGGAAGCTGGATTGGAAGCAGAGCAGCTGAAACTCTAGTAACTGCTTAACATTGTCCCTTGGTGTTCGCTGAATCCTGTAACTTACTTCTTTGAAAAACCACATTTTATGCTGGACTCAGAACCCTAACGAAGAAAAGAGAGAAGACAGAACAGGTCAACCAACCATCTCAGCTATGATGGACTTTGTTAATCAGTGGATTTTTCAAAGACCTCATAGTGTTTGCAGTGGCAAGATTGGCAGCGATTCATAACTGTTGCAATATCAAAACCACTTGAGCAAGAACCTCAGCGCATGCCCTACATCCGGGACCTGGGGAGGGTTGGAAATTGGGTGGGCCTTCTCCCTTAATACCCACCTTTAAACATGAAGGAAACAACATGGAAAACATACTAGTATTATCCACTTTCCTGTAGCCCTTGAACCTTCGTACCCTAATTAACTGTGTAAAGATTGTCAAAATAAAAATAAAATTAAAAAAAAAATCACATTTTAAAAATCTGATTTAATATGAGCTTGGAACTTTTGTTAAAAATTGCAGATAATAATATTTGATCCTATTTGTAACTTTGTGCTTTAACCATGAATTTATTTTTGTAGGATTTCTATAATTGGCCTGATGAATCCTTTGATGAGATGGACAGTACACTTGCTGTTCAGCAGGTAATATAAAGTTTCTTTTACAACTCTAGTAGCCTGAACACTTGAAGTTTTTGACACAGTTAAATATTCTTATATCTTGTAGAACAAAGATGAATGGAATGTTCATTTTAAACTTTAATGAATCCTCATTCTGTTGTAAGATGACATACTAAACTATAACCAACCCAAAAACTTTTTACTATCTGCTATTATGCGCCAACTTAGGGCACCAAGTTTGATTTCACAATGAATTCAAAATTACTAAAGTAATTACTTTCAGTAATTTAGAAAAACAGATTGTTAAATGGCATACTTATTTTTTTTCTTCTATTTTATTTTTAATTTTATGGTACAATTCCACAGGTGTGCTTATTTCTTGACTAAACTTTTGACAATATGTTCCTAAGCTTTATATTTTCATTTTAACTATAATATGACCTTAACTTTTATCATTATATTTGAAGTAAGGTTCTCATAGACAACATGTAGTTGGGTTATATTTCTTTATTCAGTCTGTCAGTCTCTGTTCTTTTGTTTTTGTTTTGTTAACATTTGTTTATTTTGCCTGAATATTAGAGTTACGGAGAGAGAGAGCAAGTGAGGGAGAGACAGAAATCTTCTACCCACTGGTTCACTCCTAAAATGGTTGTAATTGCCAGAACCAAGCCAATCTGGAACTTCTTCCGGGTCTCCTAACCTGAGAGCAGTAGTCCAAGGCCTTGGGCCCTTCTCTGCTGCATTCCCAGGCCATTATCAGGGAGTCTAATTGAAAGTGGAGCAGCCAGTGCTCAAATCAGGGCTCATACCAGTGCTCATATGGAGTGCTGGAGCCACAGGTGTAGGCATAGCCTGTTATGCTACAGTGCCAGCCATAGATATGTTTAGATTTAGAGCTACCGATTTATTATTTGTTTTCAGTTTGTTTCTCTTTTTTGTTTCTGTTTCTGCTTTTCTGCATTTTAGTATTTTATTTCAATTCAGATTTGTGATTATATACATAAATTTTGGTAGTTGCTTTAGGAATTCTAAATATTTAGTTTTTTTTTTTTTAAAGAAGAGCTTATGATTTGTATGTACATAGGAACTATCCAGGGAATGAGTACATAACCACTATATTGTATATTTTTTAAAGATTTATTTTTATCAGAAAGGCAGATTTACAGAGAGAAGATACAGAGGAAGGTCTTCTGTCTGCTGGTTCACTCTACAATAGACACCACAGCTCTAGCTGAGCCGATCCGAAGCCTTGAGCTAGGACCTTCCCACAAGGGGCAGGGTCCCAAGGTTTTGAGTCATCCTCTGCTGCTTTCCCAGGCAACAAGCAGGGAGCCGGATGGAAGTGGAGCAGCCGGGGGTGGAGTGATGCCATATGGGGATCCCAGTGCTTACAAGGAGGAGATTAGCTAATTCAGCGATCACACTGAGCCCTATACATATTTTATCCAGTTTACTTGAGATCGATATTTTGCCATTAAAATTGAAATGTAGAAACTGCCATCATTTGGACCCCTTTTCCTTCTCCTTTATGTGTAGTTGTTTTGTATCTTACATCTAGCTGCATTAAACACCTCATTGGACAGTGTTATATCTTTGCTTTCAACTCAACACCATATTTTAAAGAATTCAAGAGGAGAATCCTGTATTATTTTTGTGTCCAGATGTCTATAATTTGTATTGCTGTTAATGCTCCAAGTTTCCTTTGAGTATTTTTTTTTTCTACTGTCTGAAGAACTTCCTTTGGTAATTTTTTGGAGCTGGCTAGGAATTATTTTTAGTTTTCTTTCATTTGAAACTGTCTAATTTATCTTCATTCCTCAAGGGTATTTCTGTTGGCTAGAAATTCTGGGTTGACCTTTGCTTATTTCAGTACCTTAGAAAAAGCTGTTTTTGAAAATTCCATTTTATTTGCAAGGTAAAAAGATGGAGACAGAGCACTCGTATCTGTTCATTTCCTCCTCACATGCCTGCAGTGGCTGGGATTGGAGCCAGCCAGAGTTGGGATCCAGGAACCCAGTCCAGCTTTCCCATGTAGGTGGGTGGCAGGAAACCAGTGCCTTGAGCCATCACTGCTGTTTCCCAGGGTCTGCATTAGCAGGCAGCAGCTAGAGTCTGAAACTGGAGCCAGATAATAAACTCAGATACTGCAGGGGGCAGGTGGGCATCTTCTGTGTTGTTAAAAGCTTTTTTTTTTTTTACATTTATTTACTTTTATTGCAAAGTCAGATATACAGAGAAGAGGAGAGACAGAGAGGAAGATCTTCCATCCAATGATTTACTCCCCAAGTAACCATGATGGCTGGTGCTGCACTGATCCAAAGCCAGGAGCCAGGAACTTCCTCCAGGTCTCCCACACAGGTGCACGGTCCCAAGGCTTTAGGCCATCCTCGACTGCTTTCCCAGGCCACAAGCAGGAGATGGATGGGAAGTGGAGCAGCCGGAACTAGAACTGGCGCCCATATGGGATCCCAACACATTCAAGGCGAGGACTTTAGCCGCTAGGCCACGTCGCCGGGCCCTATTTTGACAATCTTGACATAGTTGATTCTTCCCAAGTAGCTTTTTTTTTTTTAAGATTTTATTTTATTTTTTTATTGGAAAGGCAGATATACAGAGAGGAGAGACAGAGAGGAAGATCTTCCGTCCGATGATTCATTCCCCAAGTGAGTGCAACGGCCGATGCTATGCCAATCCGAAGCCAGGAGCCTCTTCCAGGTTTCCCACGCGGGTGCAGGGTCGGGGCCGCCAGGATTAGAACCGGCGCCCATATGGGATCCCGGGCGTGCAAGACAAGTACCTTAACCACTGCGCCACTGCGCCGGGCCCCCCAAGTAGCTTTTTAACCACTCTGCTAACACCTGCTCCTTTGGCTTCTCTAATTATTTTAGTTTTTAGCCATTTGATTTTGATTTATCTGAGTATAAGATTCTTTGAGTTTGTATTCTTGGTGCTCAGCTTTTTTTTTTTTTTTTTGTCTTTTATGTGACAGAAAATTTACTTCATTTTATTCAAGGCAGACAGAGACAGGGTTTTTTATTCGCCGATTTACTACCAAAATTCCCACATTAGCCAGTCCCGGACTAGGGTCAAGTCAGGATCCAGGAATTCCATTTGGGTATGCCATGTTGGTTACAAAATAACTCAGGTCCTTGAGCCCCCACCTGCTGCTTCTGTAGCATTAGCAGGAACCTGGATCAGAGGTGGTGTAACTGGAGTTAGCTTGGTTCTCAAAGTGTATCGAGCACGAAATAGGACAAGATTCCGTTTGAGGTGAGCCCAGGAGTCCACAAACAGCTTTATGGGAACGCTGGTCTAAGATTGTCCTGTTCACTGTCTGACGTTTTCTGGGCTCTTTGAGTGTAGCACTTTGGTCCTTGCTAATGGCTGGAAACCACGTAACCACAGTTGTGCTTGAGTCTGGGAAGATGGAAGGAAAATGGTTTAGTTCCATTATGTTGGGATCATAGCACCACTCAGCTAAAAGGATGAAGGTTTTTCTCAAAGGTCTTCTTTTTTTTCCCCTACATTTTTCTCTTACCAGCCACTTTTGCTGCCGTTGGGACACAGTCTTGGGCCTAGACTATAAAGAATGAAGAAAACTATGTAAAAATTGTCAAAACCTAAGAGAGAGAGAAAAAAAAAGAAAGAATGAAGGAAAAGGAGAGTGGGAAAAAATTAAAATTTCCCCCCCATTTTGATTTTTTAAAGATTTTTGTTGTTGTTGTTGGAAAGGCAGATTTCCAGAGAAAGAGGTACAGAAAGAAAGATCTCCCATCCTGTGGTTCGTGCTTCATACCCGCCTGGGCATTACAGCCGGAGCTGAGCCAACCCGGAGCCTCTTCCAGGTCTCCAACATGGGAGTCCCAAGGCTGTGAGTATCCTCTGCTGCTTTCCCAGGCCATAAGCAGGGAGCTGAATGGGAAATGGAGCAGCTGGGACTCAAACCAGTGCCCATATGGGATCCCTGTATTTGGAGGCGGAAGATTAGCCAGTTCAGCTATCGTGCCGGACCCTCTTTGAGTTTTTTTTTAAGGTTTATTAATTTTTTTTATTGGAAAGGCAGATCTACAGAGAGGAGGAGAGCCAGAGAGGAAGATCTTCTGTCCGATGATTCACTCCCCAAGTGAGTGCAACAGCCGGTGTGCTGTGCTGATCCGAAGCCAGGAGCCTCTTCCAGGTCTCCCCACGCGGGTGCAGGGTCCCAAGGCCTTGGTCCGTCCTCGACTGCTTTTCCAGGCCACAAGCAGGGAGCTGGATGGGATGTGGAGCTGCTAGGGTTAGAACCGGCGCCTATGTGGGATTCCGGCACGTTCAAGGCGAGGACTTCAGCTGCTATGCTATTACGCTCATCCCCCTCTTGAATTTTAAAAGTGTTTTTTTTTTTTTTCCACTCTTGGAGCCAGAATAACAGTTTCTTTTGGATCTCTGTTGGTGCTGTAATTCTCATTTCTGAGTCTCACATTGCACTGGGCCCAGGCCAAGGATAACAGAGAGGAAGGGCTCCATGGCCGAGCTGCTGACAGTTCAGTGGCAGTTTGGATTCTAGTGTTGTTTCCTGCCCTCTTGCCATGTACTTTCGGAGACCTCACACAGCTGACCCATACATCCTGTCTTTTTAGCATTTTTTTCACTGTGAGGGAAAGTGGTATGTGTTGATTGCATCTTACCCAAGACTAAAGCAGTCAAGTGCTGCTTGGAGAGTGCTTTATTGCTACGCACTTCATTTGATCCAAATTACTTTTCAAAATTACTGTAGGAAAAGTCTTATGTGAAATATGTGCAGTATTAGATCAATATAATTAGAGCACACAGGATTAAATCACTAGAAAGATAACTTGTCCGCCATTTCATAGTAGAAGGAAGAATTTGTGCCATCTTTCTGACTTGATCTGAAATTGGGTTATGGTATGTGATGAGGCTTGAGAGGCTTTAGTCAATGGATAACTGATAGTAACTCTGGAATGGTAGCAGAGTGTGATCAGGGAAAGTGGTGGTGGCTTTTGGAAGCTTTAAGAAAGATTCTGTTCTAGAAATGTTGGTAAGTTAGGATTTTCAAAGGACAGGCACAGTGGCATAGCAAGTTAATCCTCTGCTTGTGACTCTGATATCCCAAATAGGTTCTGGTTCGAGTCCTGACTGCTCTACCTCTGATCCAGCTCTCTGCTTATGACCTGTGAGAATGGCACAGGAGGGTCCATTTCCTTGGTTTCCTGCACCGGTTCGGGGGTTTGGGGAGATGCTCCTGCTTCCTGATCTGGATCAGCTCAGCTTCAGCAATTGTAGCGGTTTGGAGAGTAGAGGAGCAGAGGGAAGGTCTCTCTCTTTGTCCTTCCTTCTCTCTGTAACTCTGCCTTTGAAATAAAAGTTGAAATGCAACTTTAATTAGATATAATTATTATATCAGATAAACCCATTAAAATACTGTTTAATGCTTGTATTCACAGGATTACACAGCTTTCACCACAGCCTTGTTTTAGAGCTGTGTCATCCTCCTTAAAGGGAAACTTCATCCTTATTAGTACTCTTCTTCATTCAGCTGTATGTTCTCCCATAGGCTCTAAGCAGCTGCTAATCAATTTTTCATCTCTATAAATTTGCCTCTGTTAGTTATTTTATATGATAGAACCATATATATTTGCCATGGTTAAAATTACAAGGTCTATATTTTATGTTCATTTGAATATGATAGTTTACAATTTAGAGCTCAGTCCCAATCCTACTGATCAATGCCTCATCTGCATTTATGTAGTGAATCCTATTCCATTGAGGTTGAATTGAAGAATAATAAGAATTATCTCTTCTGAGTTCTGATTGTGATTCTGTACTTGAATTCCTGTCTAATGTATAACCCAAACGAGAGACCACAAAAACAGTTCTGTAGTCAAAAAATGTATTCATTTAAAATAAGGTTTACCGTGTAATAAAATATTTTAATTAACCATAAGAACTTTTTTATTTATAGTATATCCAACAGAACATAAGAGCAGATTGCTCCAATATTGACAAAATTCTTGAACCACCTGAAGGCCAAGATGAAGGGGTGTGGAAGTATGAACATTTAAGGTAGGTCCTTTGGGTACATCAGAATAACCTTAAGTGCCTATTAATGTTTATGAATCATAGTTTACTATCTAACTATAGCCTGAACAAATATTCATTTATTTTAATTTTTATCTTTAAACAAACAGCTCCATAGGCTCAGGGACTTGCCCACCCCCTCCCTCTTTCTTCTCACCACCACTGATTTCCCCTGTGTTGTTACAATAGTATAGTTCTTCAAAAACAGTCACAAAATCAGGGCTTAGGGCAGTGTGGCTCAGTGGCTAAATCCTTGCCTCACATGCACTGGGAGCCCATATATGCCCTGGTTCATGTCCCAGCTGCTCTACTTCTCTTCCAGCTCCCTGCTCGTGGCTTGGGAAAGTGGTAGAGGACAGCCCAATACCTTGGGTCCCTGTACCTGTGTTGGAGACTGGGAAGAAGCTCTCAGCTCCTGAATGAAGACTGGCTTAGCTCCAGCCATTGTGGCTACATGGGGAGTGAACTAGCAGATGGAAGGTCTGTCTCCCCCTCTCTCTGGACATCTGCCTTTCCAATAAAGATAAAAATATCCTTAAAAAAAGTCACCAAGTCATCATTCTGCTATTTAAGTTTATCCTGACGTTGTAGGTATAGACAGTGGTAGAAAGCTCAGCATCCTTTTCAAAATATAGTTAACACTTTCACTGGGAGTCTATCTTTTATTTGGGAGTAGAGGTATATACTGCAATGTATTTTAACATCTTGGTATGCTAGTCTGTATTATAAAGCTTCTGATTTTTGCTGTCTTTTAAGGTTCTCAAGTTTGCTGATTTTTTTTTTTCTGATCAAGCTGACACTTTTATCATTTTCTTTTCCTTTTTTTTTTATTGATTACATTGCATTATGTAACACAGTTTTATAGGCACTGGGGTTTCTCCCCCCTTCCCAACCCTCCCCCCATGGTGGATTCTTGTTGCATTACTACAGTTCAGATTCAGTTGAGATTCTTTCCTTGCAAGCATCTACAAAGCATAGAGGCTAGCATCTTATTGTCCAGATAAGTTCAATGGTTTCTTGGGGAGACTGTCTCTGGTCTGAAGGTAGAGCCGACAGAGTATCATCCCTATCAATGAAAAGCCCTGACATTACATCAGTAACAATTTATAACGTTATGGAATTAGTTGACATAGTATTGAGTAACCAATATGTTAAAAGAGGAAAAAAAAAAAGAAAGAGTGCAAGTTCTGAACCACATCCTGTGACTTCTACATTGACATTTCATTTATTAGTTTATATACAACTGGGTTCTATACACCTTAAAATGGCTATAGATTACTATTCAGCTGTCTCATGTCTATTTTAATTTTAGCATTTAGCAGTTTATAGCATTGATGCATGATTTTGCTGAACCTGGCTGTTTTTCGGGTACTCTAACTTCATAACTCTAACAAGACATATGTCAACAGTTTAGGTGAACAGTTTTAGGAGGGGTGGCTAGAACTTTAGCCAATACGCTATTGTGCCGGGTCCGGTGTTTTTTTTTTTTTTTTTTTTTTTAAGATTTATTTTTATTGGCAAGTCAGATATTTACAGAGTGAAGAGAGAAAGATCTTCCATCCGCTGGTTCACTCCCCAAGTGGCTGCAGTGGTCAGAGCAGAGCCAATCTGAAGCCAGGAGCTTCTTGTGGGTCTCCCATGAGGGTGCAGGGTCCCAAAGCTTTGGGCCATTCTCCACTGCTTTCCCAGGCCATAAGAAGGGAGCTGGATGGGAAGCGGGGCTGCTGGGACACTTATAGGATCCTGGTGCTTGTAAGGCAAAGACTTCAGCTACTAGGCTACCGTTGCCAGGCCCTAGCTCAAGGTTTAAACTCTAGATTTGTCCTCTAATGTGTACCAGTGAATGATTGTGAACATCCAGTTTTCCCTTGGGGAGACAGAGCTTAATTACACTCCTGAACCAATGAGCTTTGGTGCTTTTTTTATATCCTTGGAATGAAAAAAGTGGTGATTACTGAATAGCAGAACATGAGAAGCGGCAGCGTCCTCACGTTACTTAATGGTGGTTGAGGTTATACACTTTGCAGTGCGAATGAGAGGCAGGATGAAGGTGAGGTTAAAGTATAGAACACAGTATACTTATGTGTTCATTGGGTTTTATTATTTTCAGGTCGACTTTTATATAAATGTGAAGTATAGATAGGATTTTTCTTCAAGAAGTTAGATTGCATTTCTAGTCATGAGTCTTGTGGATGAGACTTTTTTTCAAACTTTTACTATTGCATGCATTTCTACATAGTGATAAGGCTTAATGTTTTGCCATTAACAGTTTAGAAATTTCAAAATGTTAAGACTTTTTCTCAATCTCTTCCATGTTTCTTGGATAAATCGCTTGACTGTCTTGTCTAATATAAAAAATTGTGTTTTATATCTTTGGCTATGTGTGAGAGAGTGAGCCAGACATTTTGTGTATGCTGACTACCACATCGATGTCTGAAACAGTCATGGGTGGCTCAGGCAAAGGCCAGCACTGGATTCAAACCCAGGCACTTTGTGGAATGCTCTCATTCTGTGTAGCAGTTTAACGTGCTGCACCACAACATTGACCCCTACTTTCCAATTTTTATAACCTAGGATGGAGGGTACTTTTATCTTTTGCTTCATTTTAATCAGTCTTGGAAACAACTACTTACCTTTTGTATTATTGATGAAAATAAGCCACCGTAATTTTTTGCTACAAGTATGCATCCTAACATGTGAGGCTTATTTTAGTGTACAAGGTTTTCATTTCAGATTTAAAAACATTTTTCTTCATTTGATTTATAATATTAGAAAACATTTATTATATAAAACAAAAAAAAAGCTTTACATAAAACTTAGTCTTTCTCTTACATATTCCATATGTCCTAGTGCTGTTTTTTTGTTTTTGTTTTTTTTCCCCGTTAGTTGTGGTTTGGGGAAGTGATATGTGTTTTTAGTGTAATTTAAAGATCAAATTTTTAATGTAAATTAACATTCTTATATCTCTGTCATATGTTATACCTTTTTTAAAGATTTATTTATTTCACTTAAAAGTCAAGAGTAAGGTAGAGACAGAGAGAAATGTTGGGTCAACTGGTCTACTTTCCAGTTGACTGACATAGTCAGAGCTGGTCTGGTCTGAAGTTGGGAGCTAGAAGCTTCCTCTGCATCTCTCACATGGGCACAGTGACCCAAGGTTTTGGACCATCCTCCACTGCTTTCCCAGGCTATAAGCAGTGCCCTGGAGTAAGAGTGGAGCAGTTGGGGCATGAACCAGCATCTGTATGAGATGCTGCCACCACAGGTAGAGGATCAGTTTGCTAAGCCACTGCACTGGCCCCTTGTATATATGTAGTTGGCCAAGAAGATTTTCACAAGTAGCCTTTTCATGTTGTTGATTTAAGGCTGTATACTTGATGTTATTGATTAATGGGGTTATTATGTTTAAATTGGATCATGTCAGTTAAATCTCTTACCTTTAAGAATAGGCAAAGGTGCTCTTTCTTTGACTAGGTACAGTCCTGTGGTGGGATGCGTGGCATAGTGATGGGCATATAAGGTGAATGTCAGTTTGACAGATGTGTATGTGTTCCTTCTGTTTGGGATTAACTTGAAGCTGTGGATTTGTATGGTTTGCCACAGATTATGTCCAGAAAACTGCCAGATCCTAAAGTTAGCTTGTTTTTATTGTCATCCATGCAAGTGTTGAACCAAGTAAGAATATTGTTTAGACATGTAGCGAAACATTGTTACTCCAATAAATATCTGCATATGTTTGAAAAAAATTGTTTATCACCATCAGTCTTTATATCAGTTGAAATAACTCAAGAACACATAATATGGTTGCTAATGAGAGAGCATCTGAGTGATGTGATTCTGAAAGTGTTATTTTTGAAATTCGAGAACAATATTGTTATTAAACATCTGGGAAAGAAATACAATTATAAGATAACTGAAAACTCCAAAGTTGTGTTTCTGTTTTTTTTTCTATTATAATATATTTAAATTAAGTTTGTTAATAAATAAATGTCTTTTTACTACCAGATTTGTTCTATATATGTTTTCTTCTTTATTTTTGGAATTTTTTTTGTCTTATAATTATAGATTTGCATTTTGGAGTTTTTCATTTATTGGATGAGGAAAAATATAATAATGATTGTCTACCTTGATTCAATGAACTAAAAGTTACCATGGTAGGATATTTAGAAGGAGCTTAATTGGTATTTTGACAAATTATATAAAGCAGATTATTTTTGTGATGTGAAACATTATTTTAACTTTTGTTTTTAATTTTATTTATTTAAGAGAGAAGAAAACAGGTTTACTTCCTTAATGCTTGCGACACAGCTGGGGCTGGGCTGTGTCACTGCTTGGTACTGAGAACTCGGTCCATTTCTCTCCTGTGACTGACAGTGTTCCACCTCTGTGAGCACAGTACCGTATGCCCATGTACACATTAGCAGGAAGTAGGAATTGCAAGTAGAGCTGGGATAAGGATGCAGACATTTGGGTATGGGATGTGGGCATCCCAAGCAATGATGAACTGTTGTGCCACAGGCCCCAAATTGTCTTTTCCCAAATGAGCCCATTTGAAATTGAGCTCAGTGTTCAGTGGCTTCCCTTTGTCTTTAATGAGAAGACATTTGTGCCCGTAGTCTGTTTCAGACTTTTTTTTTTTTTGATTTTTTTATTTTTATTGAAAAGTCAGATTTACAGAGTGAAGGAGAGAAAAAATACCTTCCATCTGTTGGTTCACTCCCCAACTGGCTGCAATGGCCGGAACTGAGGGGCCAGGGTCTTCTGCTGGGTCACCCACGTGGGTGCTAGCTCCCAAGGCTTTGGGCTGTCCTCCACTGCTTTCCCAGGTCACAAACAGGCAGCTGGATGGGAAATGGAGTAGCCAAGATGCAAACTGGCTCCCATATGGGATTCTGGCACATGCAAGGCAAGGACTTTAGCCACTAGGCTGCTGTGCGGGTCCCTTCAGACATTGTGGTAGGATTGATAATTCTGTTTCAGAAGGAAATTAGATCATGAAAAAAATGTCCTAAAGTAACCAAAAACAAGTACACAAGTGATGTGTGATAACATTTGAACGTACTTTACCTTATGCCTGGAAAACTAGCATACAGTCAGTAGTTACCTTGGGGCAAGTACTGTTGCGTGGTAAATAAAGTTATTGCCTGGGCTGCTGGCATCTCAAATAGGTGGTAAGTCAAGTCTAAGCTGCTCCACTTTTGATGCAGCTCCCTGCTAGTGTGGCTCGGAAAGCAGCAGAGAATGGGCCAAGCACTTGGGCTCCTCCACCTCTGTGGGAGACTCAAATGCTCCTGGATCCTGATTTTACACTGGCCCAGTTCCCCATTGCAGCCATTTGGAGTGTGAGTCATTAGATGGAAAATCTCACTCTTTCTCAGTCTGTCTCTCTCTGTGTAACTAAGTAATTGAAATAGACAATTAAATATTTTTAAAAAACAGGTTGTTGGCATAGCACAATAGCCTAGTGGCTGAAGTTTTGGTCTTACATGTGCTGGGATCCCACATGGGTGCCAGTTTGTGTCCTGGGTGTTCCAATTCTCATCCAGCTCCCTGCTTGTGGCCTGGGAAAGCAGTCGAGGACCAGCCAAAGCCTTGGGACCCTGCACCCATGTGGGAGACCTAGAAGAAGCTCCTGGCTCCTGGCTCCTGGCTCCTAGCTTCGAATTAGCTCAGCTCTGGCCATTGCTGATACTTGGGGAATTAACCAGCAGATGGAAAATCTTTGTCTCTCCTTCTCTCTGTTAATCTGACTTTCCAATTTAAAAAAAGAATCTTAAAAACAGTAGTTGTTTTTTTAGGAAGAAGTGGAGTTATGATGGATTTTGATTTTCTACATGTTTTTTTAAATTTATTTTTTTGAAAGGCAGATCTACAGATGGAGGGACAGAGAGATATCTTCCATCATTGGTTTACTCCTCCAGTCAGAGCTTAGCTGAATCAAAGCCAGGAATCAGGAGTATCTCCTGAGTCTCTCCACTGCCTTCTCAGGCCACAAGCAAGAGGCTACATGGGAAGAGTAGCAGCTGGGACATGAACGGGTACCTATATTGGACGCCAGTGCTTAGAAGCAGATGATTTGGCTATCGAGCCACTGTGCTGGCCTCAGATTTTCTGTATTTATTTGACAGTTCTTGAATTTAAAAAATACATTTATTTTTTTTTTTATTTGAAAAATTTAGTTACAGAGAGAAAGAGAGTGAGATCTTCCTTCCACTGCTTCACTTTCTACATGGCCACAAGTAAAACCAGGAGCCAGCAACTTCCTCCTGGTCTCCCGCATGAGTGGCTGGCTTGTAGATATTTGTGCCATCTTCTGCTTTTCCAGATGCATTGGCTGGAAAGTGGATGTGAAGCAAGCAAGCAGTTTTTGAATTGGTACTCTGATTTGGAATGCTGGCATGGCAAGCAGTGGCATAGCATGCTACATGTATATGAAAATGCCAGCCAGTAGTTTTTCAAAAATTTCTACATCTTGGAAAGAAGCGGTTCCCTGGCAGTTGAGGTGAGGTTGTTAATGATGCTGAAGGGTGCAGTGTTTAGGATGGTGATTGAGGTGCCTGCATTCGTATGGAAGGGCCTGGATTTGAGTCTTGGCTCTGTTTTCAGTTCAACTTCCTGCAAATGCATACTGTGGGTGGAAGTGAGTGAAGGCTCAAGCACTTGGGTATCTGCCCCCACCTGGAAGACCTGAATTGAGGTTCCTGCTGCGGGATTCAGTCCCAGACTGGCTATGGTGGGCATTTGGACAATAAACCTGTTCATGGAGAATCTATCTTTTCAAATAAATGAAAATTAAATATATCTCTAGAAATAAAGAATGGTGTTGAGAGAGGAAGGATGGTACTGATGGGCTTCTTTTTTTAAGAGTTAATTTTCTGTAAATAATTTTAGAAAATAAATGTAATTTTCATTTATATATTTGCATTTTCAGGCAATTTTGTCTTGAACTAAATGGACTTGCTGTGAAGCTTCAGGTAATATTTTCTTTAAGTCAAAGCTACATTTCAAGGTTCTGATACATTTCTCATTGTAATGTAATATACTGAAAAATGTATCCAAAATGTATAGTTATTTTCTTCTGACATTTTGTAGGGAAATGTGACTTACAGGATGAACTTTTCCATTCTTATTTTTGTAGAGTGAATGCCATCCGGACACCTGTACTCAAATGACAGCAACTGAACAATGGATTTTTCTCTGTGCAGCTCATAAAACTCCCAAAGAGGTGAGGATTAGGAGATAGAATGAATAATAGTCAGCAGCACTTGAATCTCCAAAGCATTGCTGTGGTAAACTTTCAGAGTCTCTCCAGTTCAATGAATATTTTTCTACTTGATTTAGAGTTACTTGGTGTAATGTTATTACCTCAGTGCTATCTAAGGATTTCTTATTTTTTTTTTCTGTAAGAATTATTTTTATCGAAAAGGCAGATTTATAGAGAGAAGGAAAGACACAGAGAGATCTTTCAGCCTCTAGTTCACTCCCTAAATGGCTGCAGCGACCAGAGATCGACCGATCCCATACCAGGAGGCAGGAGCTTCTTTCTGATCTCCCACGTGGGTACAGGGGCGCAGGGACTTGAGGCATGCACCACTGCTTTTCCAGTCCATAAAGAGCGAGCTGGATTGGAAATGGAGCAACTGGGACATGGCCAGTGCTCATGTGAGATGCTGGCACTACCAGGTAGAGATTTAGCCTATTGAGACAATGCACTGATGGGCGCGGTTATTTTTTCAAAGATGCTGTAATAGCTGTATGCTCATGAAAAAATGCTCAACATTCTTAGTTTTTAAACACCTTACTAATGTTTAGATAAATGCAGATCAATTGGTAAATTTAGTATACAGACATTTAGTGGAACATTATACAGCCACGAAAAGGGAATGAATTTCTCATTTGTGTTATAACATAATTGAATCTTTGAAATTCAATATGTATTATACTGAGTGAAATAAGCTGCATACAAAATGATAACTGATTTTTTTGGTTGTTTTGTAATTTTCCAGGGAATGGGTCCTAAGCAGTTCTGGATGAGAATTTGTAGTTTTAATTTTGCTCTAATAAATTCACTGATATGCCATGAAAGGATAGGTTATATTGTTTTTGGTGAATGGAGCAGGATAGGATAGTTTTATCAAAATACAGAGAAACTTTAAAATTTAAAATAAAATTTAAAAGAGGAGGTGGTGTTGTACCTTAGTAGCTTAGATCTCTGCACACAATGCTGGTGTCCAGTACACGCAACAGCTCCTGTTTCAGCTGCTCCACTTCTGGTCCAGCTCCCTGATAACATACCTGGGGCACAGCTAAGATGGTGCCACTGCTTGGGCCCCTACCATCTCCATGGAAAGTGCCGGGAAGCACTGGACTTTGTTCTGGCCCAGTCTATCTAAATGTTGTGGCCATTTGTGTGGTGGATCAGTAGACTAAAGGTCTCTCTCCTTCTCCCTTTCTGTAACTAAACCTTTCAAAATAATGAATATTTTTTTTAAAAAAATGTGTGCCTAGCACTGTGACTGTGGCACAGAGAGTTGATTCACTGTCAGCTTCCATGTTGGTGTTGGTTTGAGTCCTGGCCGCTCCATTTCTGATTCAGCTGTCTGCTAATGTGCCTGGAAAAGCAGTGAAAGATGGCACAAGTGCCTGGGCGCCTCTGCATCCACGTGTTTTACCTGGATGAAGCTTTGGACTGGCCCAGCACTGGCTCTCTTTACCATATGAGGTAGTTGATGGAATATCTCAGTCTCTCCCTCTATCTCTGCAACTCTGATTTTCAAATAAAAAGAAATCTTAAAAAATTTTTTTTTTCTGAGAAGGCTCAGGGAAAAAGTCATTTAGAATTTAGATAGGTGCTAGATTGATGATGCGGCTCTGGATTGCTTGGTGAAGTGTAGATTGGTAGAGTAGAAATGAGCATTCCTGGATGATGATTCTGTTGCATATGTCATTGTCCATGCAAACCCTCAGTTCCTCAGTTAACAGCCAGAGGATTGGATTAGATAGTCTGGGATTTTCAGCACCTCTGAATGTTCTCTTCTAAATTAAGTGTGATGAATAAAAATGGGAGACTGCTAGAAGCCAGATACTAGATTATAGTTCCTTAACATAATAAAACCTTATTTACTGTAAGTGTAACATTGTATTTTAGTTATTAGTAAGAGACATTTTTCTAGAGATATGCGCATGTCTTTGGACTAATCCACAGATATAATAATTATCCCAACCCAGGAGATGGAAGTCTTTGCTGACACATTTTACAATCTTCTTTTTTTAGTGTCCTGCTATAGACTACACTAGACACACGCTTGATGGTGCTGCATGTCTTCTGAATAGTAATAAATATTTTCCTAGCAGGTAAACAAGTTCCAAGACTTTTGGATTTAATATAAAAGATGGATGCTTCTGAACTAAAATTAAGTTGTTGGTTAATGTACTCTTTTTTTCGTTTCTTTCTTTTTAAGCTGTTACCTATTTTGTTTGTTCAGATGGTCTGATCTTGAAGTTAGGGTTGTAGTTAGATAGCAGGCCTTGGCTACCAAAGCTCACAGGCTGTGTTAGGCAGGGCTGGCCCCTGGTGTCCTGTGTGTCTCCAGAGTGCTCCCTCTCTGCTTTAGCCTGGGCTAGGTATCTGCTTGCTCACTTAGTTTACTAACAGTAGGCAGAGCAAGCCTCCCCTCCTGGCAGCTTGCCCAGGGAGCACTCTTCCCCACGGTGGGCTGTTCGGGTTTTAAGTTATCTCTTACCAAGTGGTTGGAATTAGAGATTCCATCAACCTGGTAAGAGATTTCTTCCCCCAATAATAGAGATTTATTTATTTCCCTAAATATAATTAGCTCTAAAAAAAGCTCATAAAATATGCTAGAAATAGGATCTTTTGCTTCAGTATCCTATACATATTTTTATCAGAATAACGGAAATAATGCAGTTTTGATTTCTAAAAAAGTAAAACGAAAGAAAGAAACAATGCAACTCTATAGAGTAATCAAAGATAATTATTCTCATTAGAACACTTTTGTCCTATAGGACAAAGTATAATATTGTGCACTAATTTTTAGTAACTTTTGAGTTGTTCAGGGTTTATTTTATTTGCATAAAATTTGAACAAACCCAAACTGGAGTACTTTAATTTCCCCAAAGTGGCTAAGAAGAGGTTGACAGAGGGTTGGGATAAAGATTTTTCAGTCCTGCTTCTGGACTCATCTCTTATTTTTGCTAAATATCAGTTTCCACATTTGTGAATTGAGATAACTTTATTGATCCTAAGATTGTCTCCAGTTTTATAAATGTATGGTTTCTATTTCTAGGGTTAGCATAAAGGAATCATCTGTAGCAAAACTAGGATCAGTATGCCGTAGGATTTACAGAATATTTTCACATGCTTATTTTCATCACCGGCAGATATTTGATGAATATGAAGTAAGTATATTTCATTAATGATCCTGAAGCATTGTTAGTCAAAATGACAGTCATTTTATCTTGGTGCTGTTTGGTTTTGGATAATAAATTAAAATAACATCTTTTTCTTCCTTTCTATAGAATGAAACATTTTTGTGTCATCGGTTTACTAAATTTGTGATGAAATACAATTTGATGTCCAAGGATAACCTGATTGTACCGATTTTAGAAGAGGAGGTTCAGAATTCAGTTTCTGGAGAAAGTGAAGCATGAAGGGAATCATACAGGAAAATGTACTGATCACATAATTAACATTAATTATGTACTGTATATATATCATTTTAGACACATCAATCATGTATCCATAGTATAGTTTCTTTGTCTAGAATAAGTTTTTGTATGCTGTGTGTTGCCTTTTAAAATGGGAAATACTTTTTAAGTTATTCATGAGCTGTATATTCACCAGTGTGGCACTCATGGTTTTTTAAATAAGATTAGTATTATCTGTTTATAATGCTTGTTAATAAAAGAATTTACAGTTTGGTAAAATTGCTGCTAAACAATCATTGGATCACAATCCTCATCAAATAAACCCATCTGTAAACAGGAAGAGTAAACTTGAGATCTCGCACAAGCCATTTCCTAAAGGGAAAGCAACGTATTCCTTTTGTTTTGCCCCTGAGTTTATACATTCTAAAAATTCTGTAGAATATAGACTAAACTTTTCCAAAATGAGATAAAAGTCTTTAAAATTTTCTATAGTTTTTGATATGCAGTTATGACTGTGTGTATATCCAAACAGAAAAACAAACGAAGCATTAGTAACTCTTATATAATTTACTGTGTTGAAGTATATTCCAGCCAGGCCAACATATTTGGAAAGGATCTACCTTTTTGCAACAGTGAATTGTACATACATTTGATGCTAATGATAAGGCACATAAAAGGTATTCCCACTGGAAACCTTCTCTTCACCCCTTTTTGCTTCCTGTAATCCTATGCTCCAGTCCTCTGAGAAGCCTTCCGCCAGACTGGTTTAGAGGTGGCTTATGCCTGTTTAAACTCATATTAACAACTTACAGATTTACCTCATATTATCCATTATACTACACTACAGGAAAGATGTGTTGGCATAGGCTCTTTGTTTTGTGAAAGTTTTCTAACTGTTTAGAAAATAGTCCTTAAAACCATTTGAATCTTAGTAATACTAATCTTTTCATCTAATCCTAGGCAGCATTAAAGAGAGTTGAAGAACTACTGTAATATTTATTTTATACCCCTTCTTCACAAGTTTGCTTGAATTATATACATATGTGAGGATATTTGTAATAATTTATGGGTTCTAAGGGTGTTGATGAATGGCCATACACTTTTTAGACTTTGTTGTGTTAAGGATTGAGGTGCAGATGTAACAATCTATTGAATGCAGTTTTTCATAGAGTACTAGAATTTTTATTGCCACACTGTTTGTTAATAAGGCACTTAGAGTGGAAAAGTTATACATGTAGTGAAGAAAAGACTAAAACCCATTTTCTAGAACAGATTCAACAAATGTGAGGAACTTCCTTTTCATTTAAAAGTTACTTTGAAATGAAGATGGAAGTGTATTCATCTGGATTGTCTTTTAAATAGGAAGGAAGTTATATCATATTGTGAGACAAATAAGCAAAGAAAAATGTTGGTAACAGTAGCATCGTGAGATTGTAAATACATAGTTGATGCCTTTCCAAGGCTGCCAGTTCTTTTGGCTTTGAACAGTACTGTCCCAGCAGCCATGGTCCTTACTAGACCCCGACTCACAACTGTCTTTTCAAAGTTTTATGTTCATGGTGAAAGAAGTGTTGACTTTGAAATTATATATTTATATTAATATCAGTATAAACTAATAATAGTAATTTTGAACCAAACTTGCTCAATCTTGAGAGACTAACCTACTAAGAAGTGACGGATAACAATGTAGCCCTTCTCTTTGGGCGTTTCTCATAGCAGTTGCCTGTTACTTGACTATTTTCTTGGTGAACATGTGAACTAAGGTAGTGACTGGGACTGGTTATCTTGCTAAGGATTTAAAACACATTTTAAATAATATGACTTAGTGTTAACTGAGAAATAAAATATGATTTTTTTGGTATTCATTCCATCTTCCCTGTACTGTGTTTGGATTTGATCATAAAAAAATCTTCGAAAGAAAATGCCAGTTTGTAGTCTTGCTTTTGTATTCATATTGATATCTCACTAATAGTATTTGTTGCACTGTTGAAGTTGATTCACAAACTAGGTAATAACTAAATAAAAATTTCTGTCTTTCTTTAATACTATTTATGGATTTGAGAAAATGTACATGTATGTACATAAGTGATATTTTAAAAATCAGTGAGCCTGGTAGATCATTGATTTATGAATTAAGCATTCCAATAAGACAGGAAATGGAGAATTCAGAGTTTTGGGAAGTTGGTTTTCATTTTTTGCTTGAATTATATCAAATCTAAATTCAAAATTTTTCATTAGATTTTTCCTTCCATAAAGACAGTATAATCACCTCCGTCTTGTTTCTCCTACTCTTTCTGCTATAGTAGCTAACTTTAATAATCTTTGTTCCCCTGCCTAACATTGTTTTTTCTTCTGGTTTGTGTGCGTTTTCCTCCGACATTGGGTGTTAACTTTGCAGTTTTGCTTAAGTAACATTTTTAATGTCAGCATAAAATTAGAAATCCACACATTTGCTAACTGGTATTAGAGTCGTTGTAATACAAGAACTGAGCTCTTTCCTTGAGTGCTACATAATGACATTTTTTTACTATAAGGCTTCCTGTAATTTTATTTAAGCAGTTAAATTCTAAATTTTATATACTTTATTTTATAGATACTGTTTATTATAAAGTTTCTTTATGTGGTTCTTCCATGCTAGGTAAATGCTTTTGTAAAAGTCACTGATTTTTGGGGGGGGGGGGAGTGGAAAAGTCATTGATTTTCATTTTTTAAAGCAGTTGATTGTTACATAGACGATACAAGGTGAATGTATTTGTGCTGTATTTTTAGTAGTTTATTTGAGGTGTTCAGAAGTTTCAGAATCTTACATAAACAAAACCCATTTCATGGAGTAGTATGATGGCTGAAATGGCTAGTCCTCTACTTCTAAGCATCAGGATCCAATATGGGCACCATTGTGTGTCCCGGATGCTCCACTTCCCATCCAGCTCCCTGCCTGTGGCCTGGGGAGGCAGTAGAGGATGGTCCAAAGTCTTGAGACCTGCACCTGCATGGGAGACCCAGAAGAAGCTCCTGGCTTCGGATCGGCGCAGCTCCAGCCATTATGGCCATTTGAGGAGTGAACCAGCAGATGGAAGTTTCTTATTTCTCTCTCCTTTTCTCTGTAAGTCTCCCTTTCCAATAAAAACAAATAAATCTTTATTTTCTTTAAAAAAGAAATGCACATTTCAAAACCAGGGAACTAACATGTAAACCCACTAGAGAATTAGGTTAGTTAGCTGGCATATTTACTCATCATCTGTTTTTTCTGCTATTTATATTTCTTTTTATGATACACAAAGTTCAGGTCATTGTGTAATGTCATGTAAGGTAATTTAAAAATACTACATTTTGAGCCCTGTGCGGTAGCCTAGCAGCTAAAATCCTCACCTTACACTTGCTGGGATCCCATAGGTTGCCGGTTCTCATCCAGCTCCCTGCCTGTGACCTGGGAAAGCAGTCCAGGATGGCCCAAAGCCTTGGGACCCTGCACCCGTGTGGGAGACCCAGAAGAGGCTCTTGGCTCCAGGCTTCGGATTAGCTCAGCTCTAGCTTGGGGAGTGAATCATCGGATGGAAGATCTTCCTCTCTGTCTCTCCTCTGTATATCTGACTTTCCAATAAAAATAAATAAATATTAAAGATTTTTTTAAAAATTTTAACCCACTTTTTTTTTTTTAAGATTTATTTTTATTATTTTTCATTGGAAAAGCGGATATACAGAGAGGAGAGACAGAGAGGAAGATCTTCCGTCCCATGATTCACTCCCTAAGTGAGCGCAACAGGCCGATACTATGCCGATCCGAAGCCAGGAGCCTCTTCTTGGTCTCCCACGTGGGTGCAGGTTCCCAAAGCTTTGGGCCGTCCTCGACTGCTTTCCCCGGCCACAGGCAGGGAGCTGGAAGGGAAGTGGAGCTGCCGGGATTAGAACCAGCGCCCATATGGGATCCCGGGCGTGCAAGGCGAGGACCTTTAACCACTTGCGCCACCACGCCGGGCCCTAACCCACTTTTTAAATTAAAAAGTATTTTTGATGATGTTTACGTAGATGATCCGGTTGGGAAGGATTGAGGGTTAGGGGAAAATGGGTAAGACCATTATTTCCAAATTTTCTGTGTGTACCTGGAGGAAGAGGAGCTATAAAGGATAAGCCTCCCAGATGCCCCAGTATCTAGGGACGGGGGACTGACCATCTGATATCAGCCCAGGGCCCCCAGTGTGAGGCATGTTCAGGGGTTAACCCACATTTCTACAAGATAAATACATTGGCACCTTGAATTCACAGCCGGGAGAATGGCTGTGTATCTGTTATTCTAGGATCATGATAACACCACTCACAACAATTGAAATACTTTTCAAATGAAATAACAATTTTAATGTGGATCTGGGTTTCTCCTACTTGGTAAAAGCAATTTCTAATTCCTAAATTCCAGAAGGAAAAGCTCCAGGCTGCTGGTTCGCTGTTGGTGTGTCTGCAGTAGCTTTAGCTGATCAGGCTGAAGCTGGGAACTGCTTGAGCTGCTGCCACTGTCTTCCATGGTGTGCGTTAGCAGGACCTCGCACCTGGGCGTTCGAGGCCAAAACATCTTCCCCAGCTTTGGTTTTTAAGTGGCATTGTGTAAAACAGATACAGATCAGGCCCGGCGCGGTGGCGCAAGTGCTTAAGGTCCTAACCTTGCACGCCCGGGATCCCATATGGGCGCCGGTTCTAATCCCGGCAGCCCCGCTTCCCTTCCAGCTCCCTGCCTGTGGCCTGGGAAAGCAGTCGAGGACGGCCCAAAGCTTTGGGACCCTGCACCTGCGTGGGAGACCAAGAAGAGGCTCCTGGCTTCGGATCGGCATAGTATCGGCCTGTTGTGCTCACTTGGGGAGTGAATCATTGGGCGGAAGATCTTCCTCTCTGTCTCTCCTCTCTGTATATCCGCCTTTCCAATAAAAAGGTAATAAAAATAAATCTTAAAAAAAAAAGAAAAAAAACAGATACAGATCTTGGAATCTGATTGGTCAGATAGCATGTTGGTGATTATGTTAGTTTGCCATAGCTTCTAGAATGAGTCACCACAAACTTAATGGTTTAAAGCAATATAAGTCTGTTTTCTCACAGTTTTTGGAGTTTAGCTCAACATCAGTTTTTTTGCTCCAGTCAGCTGTCAGCTCTCTGGTTCTGTAGTGGCTTTCCTTGCCTCTTCTAGACCCTAGAGGGGCTGCCAGCATTCTGTAACTTGTGGATCGTTGTTTACAATCCCAATACCATTGTTGTAGCAATGTATTGCTCTCTCTTCCCATCTCCCCTTTACAGATTGCATGTGGATACATCATTGGGCTTGCCTGATTTCCCAGACTAATATCTTAATCTCACACTGTTTAATCATTTACAGTGTCTTTGTTGCCATACAAAGTAACAGTCACAGGTTCTATAGATTAGGATTTTTGTAGTTTATAACAGCAGTCCCCTGACATTTACATTTTATTTAAATTTTTTAAACATTTATTTCTTATTGGGAAGTAAGATATACAGAGAGAAAGAGAGACAGGAAGATCCGTCTGCTGGTTTATTCCCCAAGTAACCGCAATGGGCAAGCTGTGCCGATTTGAAGCAAGGTGCCAGGAGCTTCTTCCAGGTCTCCCAGGCCGGGCAGGGCCCCAAGGCTTTGGGCTGTCCTAGACTGCTTTTCTAGGCTTCAAGCAGGGAGCTGGATAGGAAGTGGAGCAGCCAGGACGTAAATGAGCACAAATATGGTATCCTAGTGTGTGCAAGGCGAAGACTTCAGCCACTAGGCTACTGTGGCAGGCCCTGAAATTCATGTTAAAAATTCCCCATGCTACAAAACCGAATTTTACTGTCAGTCATACATTTTATTTCCTGCATGTTAACTAATTTATGTCTTCCAATCACATACGCTTCATTTAAATTGAGGAATTTGAGATGGCTTTTTTGCAGATTAACATTTACTACATCCTGGGCTTCATGTGGTAGCCTAGTTCCTAAAATCCCCCCCTTGCTCATGCCGGGATGACATATTGGCATTGGTTCTAATCCCTGCTGCTCCACTTGCCTTCTAGCTCCCTACTTGTGGCTTGGAAAAACAGCAGAGGATAGCCCAAAGCCTTACCACTCTGCACCCGTGTGGGAGACCACAAGGAGGCTCCTGGCTTTGGATTGGCTGAGCTCCAGCCCTTATGGCCATTTGGGGAGTGAATCAGCTGAAAGAAAATCTTTCTGTAAATCTGCCTTTCCAATAAAAATAAATAAATAAATTTTTTAAAAAATTTACTACATTTGTGGAGTGATCCATTTAGAACTAAGCCGGATGAGTTTTTAAACAAATTAATCATAGGGCCTGGTGTGGCAGCCTAGTGGCCAAAGTCCTCTCCTTGTATGCACCGGGATTCCATATGGGCACTGGTTTATGTCTTGGTGGTGCCACTTCCTCCACTTCCCTTCCAGCTCCCTGCCTGTGGCCTGGGAAAGCAGTCAAGGATGGCCCAAAGTCTTGGGACCCTGCACCCGCGTGGGAGACCCGGAAGAAGCTCCTGGCCACTGGCTTTGGATTGGTTCAGCTCCAGCCATTGCAACCACTTGGGGAGTGAACCATCCGATTGAAGGTTTTCCTCTGTATGTCTTCTCTGTATATCTATATAGATAATAAAAATAAAATAAATCTTTCCAATAGAAATAAATAAATTTTTAAAAAAAACATGGAATCTGCTTTATCAAATTTGTAAGTGTAGAATATATTATTGTTGTGCAGGAGATCTTCCACGTTTATACAACTTGCCTGACTGAAACCTAGGCCTCTTGCTACATTTCCTCCTAATTACCATTCCATTCTTGGAGCGTCATTTAAGCAGGGTAATGTAATATTTTTCTCTCTCTGACTAGTTTATTTCACTTGTCATAATGTCTTCAAGATTGTCTGGGTTGGTAACGTTGAACTTTTTAATGGTTGCGTAGTTGTGCACAGTGTGTATGTATGCCACATTTTCCTCACCTGTCAACGGACACGATGGACACGTAGGTCATTTGTTCACTTTAGGTTTTATGAATAGTATTGTAATTAATTT